ATATTAAACTATTAAATTTGAGATTAAAAATACTTAAGACCTAGCCCCGGAGCATCGCCCGGGTCTGAGAGCTAGTATTTTCGATACTCCTGTATTTTTCGTCACGTGACCTGCGTGACTTGCAGCAGAGAGCACTACTACCGTATTGTTGTTTTCATATAATAAAGCTATCCGAGCGAGAATAATATTGACTCCCCATTTGTCGAAAATGAATTACAAAGTTTTTAATACATCCATTTTTTTAAATGCTTGAGAACTCGATTTGTAAAAGATCTGCTAACACCTAAGTGTAGATACAGTATGTGTATATAGTCTTATATAATGTTCCCTATAAAAATAAATCCTCTGGAATCATTCTGGAATTATCCGATTTTTTATTTGGCAAATCGAATCTGTATTGAATATTTATTGAATATTTACAGGATGTTTATTGGATATTATACATTTTTTGTAAGATAAGCATTTAATTAAACATTCTCTATTTTAACGTCATGTAATGAAAACAATATAAGAATAAACCCCTGTTCGAAAAATTGAAACCGTTTAGAACAATTTTTGAACAAAAATTTTATATTAGTCACCTGATCTTAAATTTCTATTGAATCTATTATGCCGAAATCAATAACTTAACCGAATAATCGAAAAATCATTCGGCAAATTTTTTTGTCAGGTGTCCCAGAATTTATGAAAACAGCTGTAATGGATCCGTATCATTTCACCGACTGACAACTTAGTTCGCCGACATTAATTGTGTTATATTTGACAAGAGTGGTGGTTGGTTCAGGAGTGATGGCGATTGATTTAGACTGACGATTAATTCAAGTTCATTTCAGACGGTTTATTACACTAGCAGCCTATTTCAATGATTTTTCTTATAAATTGCACTAATCTTAACTCTGATTCTAAACTTGACCCTAATGACAATAACCAGAATTACTTTATCTGTGAAGTGAATTGAACTTGCCTGTGAATTAATCGTCGGTAAATTAAGCTTATCCTTGTCGGTGAATTTTGTTGTCGAAGTGATTGTCGATAAAATGAAGAACCATTATATTTATATAGATTACTACGAATAATTAATAAAGTTATCGGACAATTTGACATATGGGGTGCCAGTAGAAACCAATCGATTTGTTTCTAAGTAAATTTTTTTTAAACTTTGATCTAAACAACTATTAAACCAAACTTAATAAAAAAATTTTTATTTTAATTCTATATAGTTGTAGAATTAAAATAAAAAAAAAATTTATCACGTTTGGTTTAATAGTTGTTGAGATATTTTAATTTAAAATTTTAAAAAAACTCACTAAAAACAAATTGCTTTGTTTCTACTGGCACCCTATATGTCCAATAACCTTTTGACATTATCCAATGTCTAACGGTCAAAAAATTATTTGGACATTTGGACTATGTCCAAATGTCCATTGAATTTATTTGGACATTGTTGCATTGTCCAATGACAACTCTGGTCACCATCAAAATTTCACTGTCACGTAAAGATCTACGTAACTTATCCAATACAGCAATGACGAGTCAAAAAGTCCTGCTGCTGCAAAATCACCTAGCCAACCCATAAAAAAATATTCGCCCTTTGTATTATTAACCAATTAAAATACAGTATTATTTAGGGTGTGTTTAGATGTGACAAGTGTGTTACTGTATATAAAGGGGTGTGAAGGATAGATATGTTACACAAAAACACGAAATCCTACAAGGCTATTTTCATAAAATTCACATCCCTAGTATCACACCTATGAACACTAAAACTTGGATCCGGTGTAACGCCCAAAATTGGGAGAGCAGTACAGGAACGGGTGCAGATTAGCTTTGGGCGTAACATAAACGATTTGAGATGTTTTATTAGGGGTTCGGAATTAATGATTGCTGGTTATTAAAGAGAGTGAGATTGCTATGCTTATCAAGTATATGCTTCTTTATATGCTTCTCCTTCCCTTTTATTAATCAAAAGAATTATATTTATACATTTATGATAACCCCAATTTATGCCTCATTTAGATAGAACTAATTATAATTACCAAAATAACGTAATAAGTATGTAATAACCCATTACGATAAATGTAATCATAGATTCAGCCTATTACGGAAAATGAGGTAACAATTAAAGCTATGACAAAAATTGACGTAACATCGGTCCTGAACTTCCGAACATTTCGCTCAATCAGAAAGCTAGCTTATACTTCAAACTAGACCGGGGATTTCGCCCTCCAATCTCGCCCATGGATCCGGGCGGACCCAGATCTTTTACCTAAAATGGCACCGCACCAATTTTGTCACGACAGATTCTCAATTTTGATTGGCTAACAGCCGTGATCTACAAAATTTTAAAGCGGCGAAGCAAAGCAAGAAATAAAAACGAAAAACCTGAAAAATATCCGAGCGGCAGAAATATTTACTATCACGTGATATAAAATCCTCACCTGATCTTGAAACAGTGAAATTTTCTCACGACAACACTGCAAGATTTTTACAAAGACAGTTGCAAGAAACTCATGCAAGATTTTAACAGTTATTCTCACGACGACGTTAGTTATTTTTAATTCAAGATCTAGAAATGAAGTAAGTACTTCTATTATATAGTTTGCAGTTGTAAATCCTGCGGGCTACCTAGTGATGATACCCGGGTTATCTGCAGATAATCGGATATCCGGGTTGTAAACTCAGCTACCCGGGTAAACATACCCGGTAGACATACCCAGATAATCTTCGGGTAACAAAAGTTTGAATATTCATATAGCTTATCCAAGCTAATTAAATATAATAAACTTAAGTTATAAATTTATTTTCCTTGAAAGCTATGTGTATAATTTTAGCCCTAAAAGGGTTTATACTAAATTAAGCGATCAATCAAAATAAAGTAATGCTTCGATAAAGACAATAAGGCATTATAAAACTATGTTGAGTTTAAACCTATTAGTAACTTACCAAGTACAAGAGTAATTTACAGCTGTAATAGATATGTACTAATCTGTTAACCAGTTTACATTCTGAAATTAGTATGTTTTAGTGATTAGACTTACAAAACCTGCATTTCTTTCCGAAATAATAAAAACTTTTTAATTTATCAAAATTGGAATACTAATAGAAGGGCCGATCACATAACTCTTCCCGACGATCACTTGTACCAAATTTTCTCTACAAACAATCTGCATTTCTGCAATATTTTACTAAGTAAATTATAGTTGGCTGCCTAAGTAAACTTGTTCTATACAAGATTTTACATATAGGCGGTCCTTTATTATATCTC